TCACACCCTCACACACACACCCCCACCCCACACACACACACACACACCCTCACACACACACCCCCACCCCACACACACTCACACCCTCACACATACACACTCACACCCTCACACACACCCTCACATACACCCTCTCTCTCACATACACTCTTTTTCACACAGACACACTCACACACATACACTCCCTCTCACACATATACACTCCCTCACATACACTCTCTCTCTTTCACACACATGCACTCTCTCTGTTTCACACAAACAGGAAATATTTCATCCAAGATGTTGAGTAGATACATTCTGTTTTGATCAGAAAATTCTGACCCCAGTCTAAAACATAGACAGATTCTAAGCAGGACCTCACAACTAAAATGCATTGTCTGACCTGAGATGTCACCTCTCGTATACATTGATAAAACCTTTAATTATCTCGGGACAGTGACTTGAGGGAAATCTGGATTTTGCATTTTAATCAGTAGCCTCCTTCCTAACTGTTTAAAGCTTCAACAAGAGGTGGCCAGTTTTAGGGTTGTTACCTTTCTGCTTTTTAATTGTATCATATATCCTCTCTCTCACGCTATGCCTGAGGAAGGAGCTGAGCTCCGAAAGCTTGCGTTTTTAAGTAAAATATAATCTGGAGTCATGTGCTTTTTGACTTTGTCCAGAAATCCAGGTAATGTTCTGAGGACCTGGGTTCAAATCCTGCCGTGGCAGATGCTGGAATCTGCATTCAATTTTTTAAAAATCTGTTTTTTTTAAAATTCATTCACGAGATCTGGGTATCAATGGCTAAGCAAGCATTTATTGCCGGTCCCTAACTGCCCTTGTGATAGTTAAGAGCCGACCACATTGCTGTGGGTCTGGAGTCACCTGTAGGTCAGAACAGGTAAGGATAGCAGTTTCCTTCCCTAAAGGACATTACTGAACCAGATGGATTTTTCCTGACAATCGACAAATGGTCTCATGGTCATCATTAGGCTGCCATCCTCACTTAGTCTGGGCCTACATGTGTCCCCAGACCTACAGCAATGTGGTTGATTCTTGACTGCCCTTTGGGCAATTAGGGATGGGCAATAATACCAGCCTGGGAAGTGACACTCTCATGATGTGAATGAATAAAAAACAAATTCCTGACACCATTTGAAGGCCAGTGAGGAGAATCTGGGCCAAAGGAGTGATCTGTGCCCCTCTGCCCCAGGCCAGGGATTCAGAAAGCAGCTCCAAAACAACCATCAGTGTCCCTACCTCTGAGCCAGGAGGCCCACTAGCTCCAGAGGGTGTATGGCAGCCGCCTCTCCCTCTCTCTGCAGAGAGGGCAGCCTTACAAATCCTCTCTGCGATTATGGAGACTTTACCTTTATCACAACATCCCTGAACAGGTCGATTAGAAATACCGCCACCCACCCTCAGTGTCAATAAGACGTCGTCTCGCCCTTACAGACCCCCCTCCAAGGCATTCCCCTGGGGCATGGGAGCTGCAGGGAGAACATTCGGCCCATCCACACGCTGCCATCGCCGTGGCCCACGCTGTTTTTCCATTCACCATCGTGAAGGTTCTGTTTGTAGATTTCAGGGACAGCCTCCACCGAGCCAAAACAGGAGCTTCCGCAACTTGCCTGCAATGAGATTATTTTGCAAAATATCTTTTTAATCTTATTTGTATGTGCAGCAGATGGAGCAACTCACCTCCTTCCGTTTGCAAATTGATACACAAACTCTGCAAGTTGACACAGGCCTCCCGGGCCAACGTTCCAGGCACTTCCGGTCTCTCAGCCCCGCCCCCCCCATCCCGGCATCTAAGGGCATGCGCAAACCCGGGCGGTGCCGGGAGATGTAGTTTCCTCGCTGGTGGCTTTGTAGTTCCTCCACTCCCAGACATTGAGGGAATGGGGAAAGCATGCACTTGCATTGCTGTTGCGCCTGTCACGATCCACAAAGCCCCTTGCAGGCAATGAACTGACTTTTGTAGTGTGCCCACCAGCTGGAATTTAGGGAAACGGTCAGGCGGGGTGGGGGGGAGTGAAGTCGGTCATGGTTCGGGCAAGGGGAGGGGATGGGGATGTGGAAATGGATGAGATGTGCATTGCAAGATGCCACAAACAGCCCTGTGATCTTTAAGCAAAAAGGGCTCGTGCCATGACCAGCAGATGTGCCAAAGCTCTTGGCAGCCAATGATGCACCATATTGTAAAGGAAACCTAGCAGCTAATTTAGAGTCATACAGCATGGAAGCAGACCCTTCGATCCGACTCCATCATGCTGTCCAAGTTTCTGAAACTAAATTAGTCCCATTTGGCCCATATCTCTCTAAACCTTCCTTATTCATATACCTGTCCAAATGTCTTTTACATATTGTAACTGTACCTGCATCTACCACTTCCTCCAGCGGTTCATTCCAAACCAATCTCTGTGTGAAAAAGTTGTCTCTCAGCTTCCTTTTAAATCTTTATCATCTCACCTTAAAAATATGCCCCTTAGTTTTGAAATCCCCCGCCCTGGGGAAAAGACTTGGCTATTCACCTTAAAGATGTCCCTCATGATGTTATAAGCCTCTATACCGTCACCCCTCAACCTCCTAAGCTCCAGTGGAAAAAGTCCCAGTCTATCCAGCCTCTCCTTATAACTCAAATTCTCCATTCTCAGCAACATCCCAGTAACTCTCGTCTGAACCCTCTCCAGCTTAATAATATCCTTCCTATAACAGGGCCACCAGAACTGGACACAGTGCTCCAGTAGAGATCTCACCAATGTCCTGTACAACCTCAACGTGACGTCCCAACTTGTATACTCAAAGGTCTGAGCAATGAAAGCAAAAGTGCTAAACACCTCATTAACCACCCTGTTTACATGTGATGCAAATGTCAAGTTGCTGCAAAAGGCAAGACCAGATCATTGATTGAGGGATGAATATTGCCAGGGTAACACTGATAACTTGTTCAATCTTCTGGTTGTGACAATGCTTTAAGTCACATCTTATTTACAGCCACTGGTACCCTCTCTCTCATCCTGAGTGGACCTGTCTCTTTTCTGAGGTTTTTGTTTTAGAATCCATACAGCATGGAAGCAGGCCATTCGGCCCATCGAATCCACGCCAACCCTCCGAAGCCCATCCCACCCAGACCCACCCCTTATCCTATCCCTGCATTTCCCACCCTGAACACTATGGAGTAATTTAGCACGGCCAGTCCACGTAGCCTGCACATCTTTGGACTGTGGGAGGAAACCGGAGCACCCGGAGGAAACCCACGCAGACACAGTGAGAACATGCAAACTCCACACAGACAGTCGCCCGAGGGTGGGATTGAACCCGGGTCCCTGGCGCTGTGAGACAGCTGTGCTAACCACTGAGCTGTCCCATTGACAATTAACTATTGAATTTAAGGAGAATGTAGAAAAATACATAAGACACCTCTTGTAGTGCCGTGGTAATGTCCCTACCTCTGAACCAGGAGACCCAGGTTGACATCCTTCCTGGTCCCAGAGGTGTGCAGTAATGTCTCTGACCAGGTTGTTTTTGAAAATTAGGTTAATAAATAATAAACTTTAGGAAACGATCCATAGAGGAAGGAAGGTCGTACTGATTGAATTAGACAAGGAGGAATGAGTGGTGGTTAATATGGAGCTAATTACACTTAGCATTCTGGGGCCTAGAATAAAAAAGAAATACTTTAGTGAGTTCACTACATTTGGCTTAATCACAAATATTGTGAAAAAAAACTCCAACTTAGCAATGCTTTTGAGCCAGTCTTGAGTAGTAGCTTTGTCTGTAGCCCCCTTCAAACCCTCCGAAATCTCTGCATCTCTCCAATTGTGAACTCTGCTATGTCTTCCCAGCCCCTTCACCCTACTCCAGCCCAGCCTGTACCTTCAACCCATACAAGTATAAATTCTTAATCTCATCACACTGCCAGGGCTTCTTTTCCAATACGCCTTAAAACTTGTACCTTTTGACATCACCTCCCCTGCTGTGCCCTTGCTGGGTTGCCTTGTCAATTTTCCCACACCTGGGGAAACAGGAAGAAGCTACATCAATGTAAGTTGTTGTTGAAGATGTTGCTCGCTCGTTACATCAGATTCTCATCAGTGACACCCGATAACTCCCGACACGGATTTGGCTCAATTATTGATATTGCAGTCATTTTTGCTTCTCTTTTATGAAAGGAGATGTTCGAGATGTAAAACAACAAGGTTTTAGTGTAACAAGGAGGCCATTCAGCCCATTTCTTCAATGCTAGCTTTCTAATGCAGTTGTCCACACAGTCCAATCTTCCTACCCTTCTGCCATATTCATTTTTTTTTAAAAAGTGCTTTTCATGTATTCATCCAGTTTCCTTTTGAATGTTATTATAGATTCTGCACTGACCGCAGTTCTTTCAGGAAAATATATTGCCATCCTCGGTAATTCTACAGCACCTTACACTTGCTCAGGAGTCGTAAAGCCTCTTACAGAGAAGCACTTTTCAAGTGTGGCCCTCATTGGAATGTAGGAAATGTGACAGACAGTTTACACAAGGCTAGCTTCTATACAATGTAGGAGCAAAAGAAGGCCATTCAGCCCATAAAGCCCATTTTACCATTCAATGAGATCATGGCTGATCTGATCATCCCCCACTTTCCGGCCTTGTCCCCATAACCCTTGATTCCCTTACTGATTAAAAATCTCTATCTCTATACTTTTAATGACCCAACCTCGATACGGTAAAGAATTTCATAGATTCACTCCCCTCTGAGAGAAAACACTCCTCCTCTGTCCTACAGTATGACCCCTTATTCTGAGAGTATGTCCTCTGGTCCTAGACCGTACCAAATGGGAAACAACCTGTTCATATCGCCCCTAGAGTATCTTATATGTTTTGGTGAAGTTTTCTTTCATCATCCCCAAATTCCAATGATTACGAACCCAGCCTAATCGATGGAGCTGAGGTGGAGAGAGTTAAGGGCTTGAAGTTCCTCGGAGTGATGATAACCAACAATCTGTTTTGGACTTCCCACGTAGGTGTGATGATCAAGAAGGCACAAAAACGCCTCTTCTTCCTCAGGAGACTAAGGCAATTCAACATGTCCATAACGACCCTCACCCACTTTTACAGATGCCCGTTAGAAAGCATTCTATCTGGGTGCATCACAGCTTGGTATGGCAACTGCTCTGCCCAGGACCATAAAAAATTACAGAGAGTTGTGAACACAGCCCAGCCCATCACACAAGCCAACCTTCCATCCATTGCCTCCATCTACACTTCCCACTGCCTTGGGAAAGCAGCCATCATCATCAAAGACCCCTCCCACCTGAGTCATAATCTCTTCCACCCTCTTCCCTTGAGCAGAAGATACAAAAGCTTAAACACACGTACCGACAGATTCAAGAACAGCTTCTTCCCCCAGTGTTACTAGACTTCTGAATGGACCTCTCAAATTTTAAATCTAATGTTGGTTTCGCTCTTTGTGCACCTTCTCTGCAGCCGTAACTTTCCATCCTTTGCTCTGTTCAATCACCCTCTGATCCTTGTGCCTTGTATGGTATGATCTGCCTGCACTGCACGCAAAACAAAACTTTTCACTGTACCTAGGTACATGTGACAATAATAAGTCAAATCAAATTGACCTCTCCTGATAGAAAAATCCTTCCGTACCCAGGATCAACTGAGTGAACCTTCTCTGGATGGCATCCAATGCCAGTCTATCTTTCCACACAGGGTGCCTTGTAGAATTTTAGCAAGGTGTCCCATTTTCTTATACTCCATTGCCTTTCAAATAAAGGATAACAGTCCTTCCTATTATCCAATGAACTTGGATGCTAACACTTTATGTTTCATGCATTTGTATGTTCTCACCAGCACCTCCCCCCCACCATTCCTGTTTCGTAGCTTTCTGCAGCCTTTCCCTGTTTAAATAATATCTAGCTCTTCTCCACTTCCTGCCCAAAGTGTGCACAAACAGCAGTGATCGGATAATACGCTTTAGTCATTTTGATCAAAGGATCATCATTGGTCAGCTCCCTGAGGAGGGGCTCCCTCTTCTTCCTTGAAGTCATGATATTGCATCGTTTGTAACAGCCCGAGTTGGACCTCAGCTTAGCGAACAGAGCAAACCTAATGTACTCAACTTCCCCTCACGGGCAGCACGGTGGCTCAGTGGTTAGCACTGCTACCTCATAGTGTCAGGATCCAGGTTCGATTCCACCCTCGGGCGACTGTCTGTGTGGAGTTTGCACATTCTCCCCGTGTCTGTGTGGGTTCCCTCCGGGTGCTCCGGTTTCCTCCCACAGTCCAAAGATGTGCAGGTTAGGGTGGATTGGCCATGGGAAGTACGGGGTTACAGGGTTGGAGTGGGTCTGGGTGGGCTGCCCTTCAGAGGATCAGTGTGGACTCGATGGGCTGAATGGCCTGATTCATAAGGAAATGTCTCCATACTATGGATTAACTTTGTGAACTTAATCTTGAGAGAGCATCACTGACAATGCAGCAGTCCCACAGTACTGCACTGGGATGGTCAGCATCTCTGAAGTATAACGTGACTCTGCAACCTCTCCTATCCATTTATGGCATGAGGGTATCATAGAGTCACAGTGCTGTTCAGCACAGTAACAGACCCTTTGGTCCAACTCGTCCATGCTGACCAGATATCCTAAATTCAACTTGTCCCATTTGGCCCATATCCCTCTAAACCCTTCCTATTCACATACCCATCCAAATGCCTTTTAAATGTTATAATTGTACCAGCCTCCTCCACTTCCTCTGGCAGCTCATTCCATACACGCACCACCCTCTGTGTGAAAAAGTTGCCCCTTAGGTCCCTTTTAAATCTTTCCCCTCTCACCTTAAACTTATGCCCCTCTAGTTTTGGAATTCCCCACCCCTGGGGAAAAGACCTTGACTATTCACACTATCTATGCCCCTCATGGTCTTAGAAATCTCTATAAGGTCACCCTTCAGCCTCCGACGCTCCAGGGAAAATAGCCCCTGCCTATCCAGCCTCTCCCTGTAGCTCAAACCCTCCAACATCCTTGTAAATATTTTCTGAACCCTTTCAAGTTTCACAACATCCTTCCTATAGCAGGGGGACCAGAACTGAACGCAGTATTCCAAAAGTGGCCTAACCAATGTCCTGTACAACTGCAACATGACCTCCCAACTCCTATATCAATGCACTGACCAATAAAGTCAAGTATAACAAACACCTTCTTCACAATAATAAAAACCGAAAGAACTGCGGGTGCTGTAAATCAGGAACAAAAACAAAGTTGCTGGAAAAGCTCAGCAGGTCTGGCAGCATCTGTGAAGGAGAAAACAGAGTTAACGTTTTGGGTCCGGTGTTCTGAGGAAGGGTCACTGGACCCGAAACGTTAACTTTGTTTTCTCGTTCACAGATGCTGCCAGATCTGCTGAGCTTTTCCAGCAACTTTGTTTTTGTATCTTCTTCACTATCCCATCTACCTGCGACTATTAAGTGTGTAAGTCCTGCCCTGATTGGCCTTTCCAAAAATGCAGCACTTCACATTTATCTAAATTAAACTCCATCTGCCACTCCTCAGCGCATTGGCCCATCTGATCAAGATTCCTTTGTACTCTGAGGTAATCTCCTTCGCTATCCACTACACCTCCAATTTTCACTGCTTGGGCCCAGCATTTATCGACCATCTCTAAATGATGTGGGTCTGGAGTCACATGTAGGCCAGACCGGGTAAGGACAGCAGATTTCTTTCTCTGAAGGACATCAGTGAACTTTCTGGCTCAGATGCAAAACTGCCATGATCCAAACTTTTAAAGTCCATTAAGTTACAATTTTTATCCAGGCTAAAACATCATTTTTCATTGATAGACAATCCACCACCTTCAATCCTTCCACCACCAAGGCTCAGTCACAGCAGTGTGTACCATCCACAAGATGCACTGCAGAAACTCACCAAAGATCCTTAGACATCACCTTCCAAACTCATGGTGTGTACCATCCAGAAGGACAAGGGCAGCAGATACATGGGAACACCAGCCCCTGCAAGTTCCCCTCGAGCCACTCACCATCCTGACTTGGAAACAGATCGCTGTTCCTTCAGTGTCACTGGGTCAAAATCCTGAAATTCCGTCCTTAACAGTACTATGTGCCTCCAGCACATGGATTCCTTTATTCATTCTTGGGATGAGGGCGTCGCTGTCCAGGCAGCATTTATTGCCTATCCCTAATTGCCCAGTGGGCAGTTAAGAGTCAACCACATTGCTGTGGGTCTGGAGTCACTTGTAGACCAGACCAGGTAAGGATGGCAGTTTGAAGAACTGCAGCAGTTCAAGAGGGTAGCTCGCCACCACCTTCTCAAGGAGCAATTAGGGTACGAGGCAATAAATGCTGGGCCCACATTCAATGTACAAATACAAAAAAAAGACACAGTCCCCACTTCTCCTGAGTAGAGAAGGAATGAAATCCAAAAAAATAAAGTAGCCAGAAAGAAAAATGCTTTAATGTACAATTATAATTCCGCGTGGGAAGGGAGGAAATAAAAAAAAGTTCCTTTTTGTTTCGAAGAAAAGTCATTTCTTGAGTCACTGTCCAACAGAAAAATAACTTTGATTGGCGATTGACGTAAATAAGATTAAACGTAAATCCATCCCTTTTTCACTGGGTATCCCTCGGAAAATTGTCCGTTTTTTTCGACATTATTGGTACCGCCATTGCTATCTACAGATATCTCTCCTTCATATGTTACACTGTACATTCAGCAGGAAGTGCGTTACTCCCCTCCCTGCGCCCTCAACGCTTTGATCTCTTGCCGATGGAGTTCCGCCCATGGCTGCGGTAAAGGGATTGCTTCTCTGGGTTGAAGCCACAGTATTTCAAGGTGTGGGCGGAATCGCCTGTGGCCTGGCACAGGGGGCAGACGTAGTTGCGCAGGATCGGGCAAAGCACCCTGCCGCTCTCCGATTTAAGAGCGTGCGAGGCGTACACCTTCCGCGACTCGCCGTTGTGTTTGCAGAAGGTGCAGACCCCACCCGCCTTCTTTGTCGCCCTCTCGGGACCCGGGCTGCTCCTGCCGGGGGGAGGGGGCACCGTGCCCGCCTGGAAGGTCCCGCCGGCTGGGGGGCCGACCTCCCCGGGCTCCTGCCCGATCGTGCCAGGCCTCCAGATCTCCTCCACCCTCATCGATAACTGTAAGTAGTCCTTCCACAAGTCAAACTCCTGGCCCCTGGCAGAGGAAGCCTGGCACATTCTCTCCATGGGAACTTCGGTGAGTTGGGGGGGAGTGGTAAACCTTTTGAAGACCCCCTACCAGCAGCTCATAACAACATCCAGAGTCACCAGTAATCCATCAGAAATCATTAAAGGGTCAGAGAAGAGGAAGGGTTGTAGCAATTAAATAGCAAAAGGGTGTGGCCAAGTGTATTTTAATTTTAAAGCCCAACTTGTTATAGTTTGTGGTCCCAGGCAGGTATCATGTTTACAGAGTTTTCTCTCTCTCTCTCTTCCTAAACACACTGACTCACCCTCCCCGGCACCCCCACCGAGCCTATGACACTCTAGTATCAATCTAATACATTTGTAAATTCGACATGCACTGACTGAGTGCAGGCTGGAAAAGTCAGTATGCAACGAAATGCATTCCTTCTCCAGTCTTTGAAGTGCAGGCCAGACCTAGTGTCTGCTGTGTTTTGCATGTGTTGGATGAGCAAGGGAGCTGGAGCAGGAGGGGAAGGAGTTTTGGGGAGGGAGGGCTCCTGCAAGACAGGGAAGTGCAGTAAAACAATGTAATCCTGATTTTCTGAAGAAGGGTCTAGACCCGAAATGTCAGCTTTCCTGCTCCTCTGATGCCTGCTATGTTCATCCAGCTCTACACCTTGTTATCTCTAATCCTCACAAGTATCTGCTAAACCTCACAAGACTCAGCCTCCCCGATTGGAATTTTAAACTGCCATCCCGCTTAGAACTGCAGCCTGATGAAGTTGGAAGTGCGGTCACTATTGCAATGCAGGGAGAGGGGTAGCAGGGGATTGGCTCACAGTGAGATCGCGCAGACGGCAATGTGACGACGGGGTGCGGGAGGGGAGGGGAGGGCAGGGTCAGATTGTTTCTTTGACAGGTGATGGTTAGCCGGGCCACTCGGAATGAGCCCCCCCTCACCCCCCAAAACCCACGCTCGCTGTCCTTGGGAGAGCACGGACAACGTCTCATCCGAGAGGTGGCACCTAACCACCTCCCCCCAACAACCCCCCAAACTGCGCAGCACTCCCTCAGTACTGCACCAAACGGGGCAGCCTGGGACTGCAAAACCCACCAGACTGTAGGCATCAACCGAACGCCCTCCTGGATAAACTTTGTGGACTCCCCGCCTCGTCCCGCTCGCTCCTCCGTACATGCCACGTCCATCCATTTGCCAGCCCTTCCTGATTAGGAAACTTATACATCGAGAGCAGGCACCATCAGCAGCTCAACGATGAAGATTTACAGCCTGAAGGCAAGTGCGGAATTATTCTCAGACCGTGGGAAATGGGAGCGCCAGTCGGCCGTTCAGCTCCACAAGGTGCCTCCCCACTCATCGAAAATAAGCAAGAGTAGGCCATTCAGCCCCTTCAAGCCTGCTCCACCATTCAATATGATCGTGGCTGATCATCCAACTCAATCCCTTGTTCCTGCTTTACCCTCCTCTCCGCCCCATACCCTCAATCTCTTTAGCCCTAAAAACTACACCTAACTCTATCTTGGAAACATTCAATATTTTGGCCTCAATCACTTTCTATGGATATTCAAAATGACTATGATTCACACGACTATGACTAAGAAATCAGAGTTAATATTTCGGGTCCAGTGAGCCTTCCTCAGAACTCTGAGGAACCCTGAGTTCTGAGGAAGGGTCACTCGATCCAAAACATGAACGTTGTTTCCTCCCTGTGTTTCTCCAGCAATCTCCTGTTTTTTTTTAAACTCCTTTGATCAAACTTTTGGTTGTGTAAGTGGTTCTTGTCGTTATTACTTGTCTGTTTACGGGAGCTTGCTGTGTCATTCACTGATGTGTCCCCCTCATTACAACCCTGGGTACACAATCACAGAACTGTAAAAGTACAGAGGGAGTCCTTTCCAGATCAACTTCAGCACTCAGGTCCTCCTGGAGGACTTTTCATCCCTTGTTTTTGCAAGAAAATGTGGAATGGACCTTCTTCCCTTGAGGCATCACTAAGAAAGGGTGGGAGAGATATCATAGAGCCATACAGCACAGAAACAGACCCTTCGGTCCAACTAGACCATGTTCCCAAACTAAACTAGTCCCACCTGCCTGCACTCGGCCCATATCCCTCCAAACCTTTCCTATTCAAATGTCTTTTTAACGTTGGAACTGTGCCTGCAACCACTATTTTCTCTGTTGGTTTATTACACACACGAACCACCCTCTGTGTGAAAAAAAGCTGCCCCTCATGTTCATGTTTTTTCCAGCAAATCCTGTTTTGGTTTCAGATTTCCAGCATGCACAGTTCTTTGTTTAGAATCATAGAATGCCTACAGTGTGGAAGCAGGCCGTTCAGCCCTTCTAGTCCATACCAACCCTCCGAAGAGCATCATATCTACAGCCAGCCTCCTACCCTATCCCTGCATTTCCCATGGCTAAACCACCCAGCCTGCACATCCCTGGAGACTAGGGGGTAATTTAGCGTGGCCAATCCACCCTAACCTGCACATCTTTGGACTGTGGGAGGAAACTGGAGCACCCGGAGGAAACCCACACAGACACAGGGAGAATGTGCAAACTCCACACAGACAGTCGCCCGAGGGTGGAATCGAACCTGTTGCTGTGATGCAGCATTGCTAACTGCTCAGCCACCGCGCCACATTATTTTAGAGTTTAAGGAGCGATCTTGACAGAGGAAAGCAAGGCAGAGAGGTGTAGAGAAGGGAATTCCAGAGCTACAGAAGCCTGCAAGCACGTGTAGTGGTATTATCACTGGCCTGTTAATCCAGAGACCCAGACAATGTTCTGGGGATCGCAGTTCAAATCCTGCCACAGCAGATGATGGAATTTGAATTCAATAAAATATCTGGAATTAAGAGTCTAACAATGACCATGAATCGATTGTTGGGAAAAACCCATCTGGTTCACTAATGTCCTTTAGGGAAGGAAACTGCCATCCTTACCTGGTCTGGCCTACATGTGACTCCAGACCCACAGCAAATGTGGTTGACTCTTAACCGCCCTCTGGGCAATTAGGGATGGGCAATAAATGCTCCCTGGCTAGTGATGCCCTCATCCTGTGAGTGAATAAAGGAATTCCAGAACTTGGGAAGCGTGTAAGCACAGCCATTGATGGTGGCAGAGTTATTACAGGGAAGGGAGAAGAGGCTCGAACGGGGTGGGCAGGGAGTTGGGAATCTCGGAGCGGAGTGGTCCCCAGAAGGAGATAGCAGTAAAAGCCGTGAGTGGCACTCTGACTTGACTTATCTCTTTTAAATTGATGCCGTGGGTGATCATGCTTCCAGGCAGGGGATTGGGTTTTGCATCTGGGAGACAAGATTATCCATTTTGGTGACGTCGTTTGGGGGATGATTATCACCCACTTTCCTGTAAAAGTAGCACAAAAGGAAACAACTTCACATCTCAGCTGAAAGGCAGGTCTGCTGAATCTGCTTTATGTCCTACACCAGAACTGGTGTTGCATGTTGGTAAAACAAACAAGGGCAGGACTTATACAATTAAAAGTAGGGTTGTGTTGCAGAACAGAAGGACCTACGTGTCCAGGTACATCATTCTTTGAAGTATGCATCACATATAGAACATAGAACAGTACAGCACGGAGATAGTAGGAACTGCCGATGCCGGAATCTCAGATAACAAGGTATGGAGCTGGAGGAACACAGCAGGCCAGGCAGCATCGGAGGAGCAGGAAAGCTGACGTTTCAGGTCTGGACCCTTCTTCAGAAAAAAAGGCGCAGTACAGGCCCTTCGGCCCACAATGTTGCGCTGACCTATTACTAAGATCAAACTACCCTGCAGACTCTACATTATACTATCACAGGGTGGTTAAGAAGGCATTTAGCACGCTTGCCTTCATTGCTCAGTCCATTGAGTGTAGGAGTTGGGACGTTATGTTGAGGTTGTACAGGACGTTTGTGAGGCCTCTTCTGGAGCACTGTGTCCAGTTCTGGTCGCCCTGTTATAGGAAGGATATCATTAGGCTAGAGAGGGTTCAGAAGAGATTTACCAGGATGTTGCAGGGTATGGAAGGTTTGAGTTATAAGAAAGGCTGGACAGGCTGGGACTTTTATCTCTGGAGCATAGGCTGTTGAGAGGTGATCTTATAGAGGTTTGCAAAATAAATGAGAGCTATAGATAGGGTTGATGGTACAGGAGTTCTCCTATAATGCAACAGTTGCGTTCTTCTGTGACCTCGCACTAATAAAATTCGCATTATAGGGAAATCGCTGTAGAAAGTCGCTATACCTGTACAGCTGAAAGTTCACATTATCCAAACAGTGTCCATTATTCACCAATCACGTTACAGCCAATTTGCAGTAATAAAACATGCGTTAAAGTAGAAAATACCTGTAGTTGTGTTTTCCCTAGGATGGGGGATTCCAAGACTAGGGGACACATTTTGAAGGTGACAGTAGGGAGATTTAAAAAAAACACGAGGGGCAAATATTTTACACAGAGGGTGGTTCAAGTGTCGAATGAACTTCCTGGGGAAGTGTTGGATGTGGGTACAGTTACAACGTTTAAAAGACATTTGGATAGGTACATGAATAGGAAAGGTTTGGAGGGATATGGGCCAGGAGCAGGCAAGTGGGACTAGTTTAGTTTGGGATTATGGTCGGCATGGACTGGTTGGACCGAAGGGTCTGTTTCGTGCTGTATGAGTCTATGACATGAAAATCGATGGCGTGATCAATAGTCAAGATGTGGAGGCGCTGGTGTTGGACTGGGGTGGACAAGGTCAGAAGTCACACGACACCAGGTTATAGTCCAACTGGTTTATTTGAAAACACGAGCTTTCTGAGCCTCACTCCTTCTTCAGGTGTTAGTGAGAGAGGTAGTATCAGACACAGACTTCATAAGTAAAAGATCAAAGGGTCACATCACTGATGAGGATGTACTAAACAAACCTAAGATGCTGTTAAATCTTTAATCAGTTAGAAGGTTTTAATTGATTAATATGTAT